ACAACCAAAACATAGCAGCAAAAACCATCAGCAACACAGCCCAAATATTGTATTTTTTCCTTGGTATTTGTTGTGTTTTTTGCAAACGCCTTGCATGGACAAAAATTCAACGACACTGAAATGCCCAAATCCAAGACAAAGGCCGACACAGATCCCAAAATACCCCTAAAATGGCTCAACATAAACCAAGTATGGTGCCAACGTGGCCCAAAATGTCCCAACATATCCCAAAATGGCCCAGATAAGCCAACTCTTGCACAACAAAGGCCAACACAAACCACAAAAGGCAAAAATGAGGCCGACGGAGCCAAAACTGCAAATCACATTTTCTGCGAATCAAAAATTGGGTTTGCACACGCTCCATGCCCCCCCCACACCCCCCTACCTAGGGCAAAGCTACATCAACCCCTTGCGCTGTTCCAGCGCTTTCCGTCATCTAAGTATATCACCCTTTGGGTAAATGTCCGTCATTTTCTTAGTAAATCCATATATATATATATAGATATACACATTATATCATATATATATACACATTATATCATATATATATATACACATGTAAATCCCAAGCATTTTTTCTTCCACCCGCCATCACCAACTGCGCCGCCTTCAATGGTGCCAGTGGCAGTTGTTGCACCGCTTCCAGCAGCTTTTGCAGAAGCTCCGACGGGGCATGGTCCAACACACCTGAATTACCCTTACAATCGCTGGGAAAAACATAACAATGAACTGTGGGGTATGGTCATCCCACCATTAGGAATGCCCTTTGCTGGGCATATTACATCATACCCCGAATGGATATCATACTATGTACAAAATAAAACAACAATACATCCATGTTTTCATGGAGGCATGACACTCCCCTTTTGGTGGGAACATACCTCATATTTTGACCACGGGACATACAAACCAGTAGGAGCAAATTGGGTGTTGATGCAGCAATGATGAACGCTACTTGATGACTTAGGTGGAAGTCGAAACGATGCATTTGACATGAATTAACCAGGGTTTCATTATTGAATTGATAAATAACCCTGCTAGAAGTGGAAAGTCGGAGAAAACCACCTCATTAGTATTTGAACTCCTGCACACTTTTAGCAAATCAAGTAGTCAACTCGGATGGCAAGTGGAGCCAACTTTCCTGCGTTTTGGGTAATCGAATGGGTAGACCGCGGCAGACCGCTTTGGAGATCTCCAGCGTATGGCGCGGCGGCACGGTGATCATCCCAACGTGAAGCCACACACTTTGTGCCACTGGTGGTTGATACCCCAGACATGTTTTTTCAAATTAGATGAATCATGAAGCTAAATTAAGCCATCTAAACATCTCTGTATTTTCATGGCATATGGCTGTAATCCATCTGATAGAATCACTATAGCTCCCGACCCCTATCTTTGGACCCCGGGGTTCCACCCAGCGGTTCAACAACTCACCTGGTGCCAGGAGAGCTGAAGACATCGCCTCCAAAATGGCTTCATCCAGCGTTTGACGTCCTAGCGCGCGGACGCATCACTTTTCATACCAAAATGATCCAAAATGGTCACACCTTGGGGCATCCTCGATTTTTCGGACAAAGCCACATCTATATGATGCGAAATGCACGCAGATCAATTGCAGATCCATAGTTTCAAAACGAGGTATCCCCAAATCCAATGGCTTATCATCATTTTCCAATTAAACATGGCATAAACTTGCCATACGGAAGGTCTACCGGTGGGCATCCCTGTGTACTGGCGAGGCGGGGATTCACCCGTGATTCACCGACAGAATGGCACGGGAATATAGTGCTAATGTGGGGCCCTCTACTTAGCCAAGTTGATGATTTATAATTAAGTAGGTTAACTAGGGTCTAGGGTGGTGGATACGTCTATAGTTAGATGGGTTGCAGAATCAAGTTATAACTTCGGGGGCACAAGCTTGTAGGGTATATCCATAGTAAAAATTAGAAACATCTCTATGGGGAAATTTGACAAACCATTGGAACCATATTCTCGGACGAACCTGTGTGGGGTTTGCGTCAAACTATGCTTCCCTGCTTCACCCATATCCAAAGGTTAGGAGATTGCGAGAGCCATCATGGATGGAATGATCAAAAACTAGAAATATTTTTTCTTCTTTGGACAGATTACCCTTACTAGCCACTATCTATGGTGAGGTCATCATGAGGTAATTACCAGTAGTACCGCACAAGGCGGTGGCGGAAGTTTCAAAAATGGAAAACCTATAGGAGAGGTGAGTTGGTGTGACGCAAAAATGGCAGAGCGAACCCACTGATGGATTGAAAGATGGTTGAGTGTTTCTCCCTTTCTGTCTCTCTTTCTCTCTTTCTCTCTGTGTCTCTCTTTCGCCATCTATCTACAGAGCTACATTTCTAGCCATCTACCTATCTACCTGTCTATTCATGTATCTATCGATGACTGTACAGCTGACGGCCTCGTACCAATGCGTTTTGCGATTTTTCCATGCCGTGTCTCTAAAGTACTGCGCCTGCCACGAAAAAGTTAGTCCAGGTCATACGAAATGCTGCACCTGTCACGAAATAGCATCTTGGCATAGCTGATGATTTGATACGCCAAAATGCAACCCCTCTCAGGAAATCAGCTCCTTAAGCTCCGAACATCTCTGCTGAAGATGCCTCTTGTACTGCGCCTGCCACGAAAAATGCATCTGTGCAGATCCTCTTCAAATCTCCCACGCCTGCCATCGTTTTTGAAAATGCTACAAAACCCTCACGTTTTAGTCGCTTTTCAGTGGATGCACAATCCACGCCACCTACCGTACGAAACGACGTCTGAACGTCCGAAATGTCTCCGAGACCCTAAGGTTTTTAACACTTTTGACTTCCAAATGTGCTTCGCACCACAACGCCGTGCACTTTTTCGTCATCTCAACTTCCAAAACGGCTCCGAACCCCTCAGATTTTAACACATTTTACTTCCAAATGTGCTTCGCGCCATAACGCCGTGCACTTTTTCGACATCTCAACTTCCAAAAGTGTTCCGAGACCTTCAGTTTTAAACACTTTTTACTTCCAAATGTGCTTCTCGCCACGCGTGCACTTTTTCGTCATCTCAACTTCCAAAACGGCTCCGAACCCCTCAGTTTTTAACACATTTTACTTCCAAATCTGCTTCGCGCCATAACGCCGTGCACTTTTTCAACATCTCAACTTCCAAAACGGCTCCGAACCCCTCAGATTTTAACACATTTTACTTCCAAATGTGCTTTGCGCCACAACGCCGTGCACTTTTTCGACATCTCAACTTCCAAAACGGCTCCGAACCCCTCAGTTTTTAACACATTTTACTTCCAAATCTGCTTCGCGCCACAACGCCGTGCACTTTTTCAACAAAAGTGCTCCGAACCCCTCAGTTTTACTTCCAAATCTGCTTCGCGCCACAACGCCGTGCACTTTTTCAACATCTCAACTTCCAAAAGTGGTCCGACGCTGAGGTGTTTTGTACCTTTTCACTTCGAAATCGGCTTCGCGCCACAACGGCGTGCAACTTTTCATCTCTCATCTCCCCAGATGTCGTCTCCGCACCCGCCGCTTTAGCGAGCCTACTTTTCAACCCTCCGGAGCCACAAAACCACGAAAAAACACAGTGTTTCGCGACTTTCCTACCTTTTCGCGCACCTGCATCTTCTTTCTTCTGATCTTTTCTCTTCTGACTCTTCTCCCTGCTGACTGCTTTTCATCTCTCCATATTGTCGGAAGTTTGACTTCTAAACTTTCTTCGATAACTTGACCAGAATGATCTACCGCTGTTTAAGGCTGTTCCTCATCATTTACTGGGTCGGTGGAGGTCAATATCAGCTATCCAAAGGTATCGGTCTTTTTCAGTCTTTGGTCGAATTCATCAAATACCTTTGGATATCTGATTCAAACATATTCAAACGAGATAAGTCTTGGCGATTTTCTTGGGATCACTTTCCCATCGGCTGTTTGAAGGCCCTTTTCCCACATATTTTATGTCCCAATGTTGACTGGCCATCCATTTGTGCTTACAACGTCGCCCATCAAGATCTCTGGTTGGATACTGGTTCCCATATTTGATGGTGATAACCTCCTACGTACCATTGTTGGTTCATAACCCGTCTTTTTCGCCCCAGAAAGATGCCCAAAAGTGTGAAGCCAGGAGGTGAACATCTCATGACATGTGATCAGGTTGATACATAGCTCCACGTTTCATCAGGTTTCCCAGGATTCGAAATTCTCACCCAAACATTGGATGAACAGATGCGGTTGGGCCTTATACATTGACCCATTCCCATGACCCATCTACTACTCTTAGTCGCCTTGTAGCTGTAAGATTAATTCGTCAATAGTCCACTCATCAAGTCCCACTCATCGTCATAACCATGATGATATTTATAGTTTCATAAAATTTTAGAATCCCCTAATCACAATCAACATCAAAAGCGATTAATTACATATAATCCACTAAACAAAATCATCATCATAATCGGTTACAGTAATTGCAGTAATCTACCAATCCACCTATCATCCATCAATCACAGCAATTGCAATAATCTACCAATATTAGATTTTTATCATCCACCAATCACAATCACAATCTATAATTACAATACTCTACTAATCCACTAATCATAATCATAATTATCCATCGATTATTTCATGACAATAATCTACTAATACTAATCTACTATCAGTAGTATTAATCTACTAATCATGGGTATTACGGTATTACTAATTTACTAATCTACGAATCCTATAATATAAATATCATCATGGTTACAATAATCCACTCATCATTACCTAATCATCATCCACTAATCATCCTAGTATTAAAAATATCTAATGAAATGAATAGACTACTAATCCACTCCACCTTGTAGCTCCGCCAGCAGCATCGCCAGCTGCGTGAGCTGTGGCACTTCCCAGGCCTTTGAGCGCAGTGACTGGAGACCTGGCGACGGGCTAAAAAAAGGGGGTCATGGGAGATCCCAAACCATGGTGATTTATGGCGGTTTTATAGTGATTTAAGCAAGAAGAATGGGATGTCAATGGGATTTTCCATGTGACCGATAGTGTAGATGTTTTTAACCATACGGAGGTTTCCCAAAATGCGGGTACCCCCAAATCATCCGAACTTAGACCATGACTTAGTACTAAAACCCATGGTTTTGGGCATCTCGCACTTTAAGAAGACCCTATATTAAAAGCAACTCATTATTGTGTTTTTTTTACACATGGAACCTTAATTCCATGCGGGTTGGAAGACGATTTTCCGAACTTGACCATGCCCATTTTTTGGGCTTACAATGTCAAATTTAAGGGATGTAAATGGGGTATTTAGTACTCATTATAGTTTGGATACCAAGAACGGGTTAACTGATGGTTAAACCAATGGTGGGGTGATGTGATGATATGGAAAACGCACGGCTTAACATCTATTGATTTAACCTTTTACTAGCGCTTTCAACCCTTCTCAAGCATTTTAGACGTGGGGGATCATTACTTCATGATGCGAAAACAAACAATTGCTGAAATGAATGACCAGTGTAGGACGCCGTCAAAGGAAATCACACTAGTATCGTGGCCAACTTACTTTTCAAAACAATGTCGTTGCGAAAGAAACTGTTCCTCATGGCACACTAAAGGAATTCACCAAACCAGGGTGCCCGAGGCGGGATTTCATCCCCATTTCCTAAAGCAGATCCCATAGGTCCAGACCCATCTTCAAACAAACAATGGGAACATATTCAATGTTTGATGAAATTGATGATGGCTAAATATATGATTGGTGTTATATTTACCCATCATGTTCAATGCTTGTGGCTAAATATAACACCAATCTAATATCACCCTTTCTGGTTGCTTAGATCAGTTAGATCCGTTGACTGGTGCATCTCAAGTTCCCAAAAGATGAAACATCATTGGTTTCCAGCGTCCATTCTTGATGCTTATCGGCAATCAAACACGGCAAAAAATCCATTTATAGATGACTATCCCATGTAAATGGACATTTATATTGATTCTTATATTAATTTACATATTAATTTATATATCATTTTGTGTACATTTCAAGTGGATTTCCCATGTTTGATCACCGGGGGCTACAGATCATCCCAATGGATTCAACAAACACCGATTCAGCAAATCGAAGTATCTTTTGGATGATGAGAAAACCGAATATATTGGGTAGTGTAACAAACACATGGGTTATACCCACACAATCAAAGCTTTAATGGGAACCTTTGGATGATTCACCAGTGATGTTGGAGTTATACCCACACAATCATAGTTTACTAATTATAATAGCCTCCGGTGTCATCAGCCACATAGCAGCCGAGTTTTTCAGCAACTTACAGATCATTTCCCCAGTTATAAACCCCCATTTAGTTCGAGTATTTTCGAGCTAGCCACGTTTGATGACACCAAAGGGTAGTTCAAACCCCACCAGCAAATCTAAGTATCTTCCTTTTGTTGTATGATATTCACCAATATATTCGGTAGTATAACCCACGAACTAATCACCAACCATTTACTAGTGGATATCGCATTATATCCCCAGTATATAATATATTAACACCGATAATTATATATATAACCCACGGATTTTGCACTCACACCTCCACTTTACTGGAGATTTTGGGGCAGCTATTGATGAATCATTTATGGGGGAGTTTCCATTAAAACCTCCATTGACCGATGATTTTCCAAGCTAGAAACCTCCATTGTTATCGAGATTTCCCTTGGTTTCCCCATGATTTTCCTCTGGTTTTTGCAGCCGTTGATGACTCCCTTGGTCCGTCATTTCCGGCCTGCTGCGAACATCTGGGACCAAAAGGCGGCTCTGTCGTAGTGCAGGTGGCTGGCAGCTTCCTGGAGAGGTGAAGCTGCAAATGGTATCCTCTAAAAACTGAGTATACAGTACACACACACACATATATATATATATCATAAAATAAAAATAAATAAATAAAAAAACAAATAAATATTTAATAAATAAATAAATAAATATATAAATATATAAATAAATAAATAAAAAATATATATATACACATACAGCTACTGTCCACATCAAAGCTCCACTGTACCACGAGCGTATTCTGTGGAATTTGACCACGAGCGTATTCTGTGGAATTTGGCGAAGCGCCAACGCTTTGTGTTGGAATACCTCCTGTGGCAAATGGGTGATGGCATCGTGTTCCACTGCGAACACTCTGATTGAGAAGTTGTTCGAATCACGGGCGTCTGCAACGTGACAGAGCGTGACTGCGTGAAGCAGCGTGCCAAAGTTGGCTTTGAAGCGGAGCCTTGCCGGCATCGTGGCGACCGAATCGATGGTGTTCACCCTGGTCCAGTTGGTCACCTGAAGCACGTCAATGAGACGCCTTTGGGCAGAAATGTCGTCGTCGGGCCATTGCACCAGCAAGCTCTGAACTTCCATGGTTGTATGAGGGAGTGATACCCGCGAGCCCGATCAGCGTATCTCAGGCATGAAGGTGATTTTTTGTCGGAATGTTTAGAGATAGGCTATGTCGTGGATGTTTTCTTCTGGACGTTGCTTGACAGGTTACCTGTTTGCTTGAGGGCAAAACGGCTGCGGGAATTGCGAGCTGCAGGCGGCAATGCTGTGTAAGGCGATTGTGAACTTGCAAACCTATCTGGAGATGGCCTACTGTGTTTTGACGCGTTTAATGTTCCCTGTCGCAATTTTGGCCTCTCCGTCCGGCTGTGCTTCTTGTCCATCATGTATGGGCCGGCACAAAGTGCTTTGGCGAAACCTGTCCTCCGATCAAGTAGTCTTCGTCCATGGCCACGTGCGAGAGCGCGACGTATGCAGCAGCTCGGCAACCAGCGGCATCCAACCATTATGGTGATGTGCTGCAACGTCATGCCCTGTACTTTTGGCACCGTGTCCAAGTCGCGCCGGGAGCAAGGTGATGCGGCGTGCATCTGGCAGATCTTCTGTGATAGGGTGCGCTGCTAGACGCTTGCCCGTGTTGGTGGCTACCTCCAAGCAATCACTCCTGGGGTCGTAGTGCTGCACGGTGGCGAGCATGCCGTCGACTTGAAGTGTTGCGGGTCAGGAAAGCACGCATCCCGGCGAAGACTTCTGTCTGGGATGGCTCCAGGTTCCCCTTCTTGAGCGCAAGCGGTCCCTCACCGTGTGTGTACTTGTCAGCATTTGCTTCATAGTCAAAAGGGGCCGTTCCCAAAGGTTTCTTGTGCCTTTCCTCGAAGAACGCCTTGGCGGCTAGCTTGTTGATGAACGCGCAGCCGCGGCGAGTGCAGGTCACCACTGTGGTGTTTGGATGCTTTCTCCAGAGGGTGACGATGTCCCATTTGGTGGGCTCTGGCATCTTCCAAGCTCTGTGGTTTTTGAGAATTTTGCGAAGTTGTCCCGTACTTGGAATGCTTGTACGCAGGATGTTCAACTTCTTCTGCAATTACTTCGATTTGCATCGAACCTGTTCGTAAAATTGGATCATCTTGACGTGTGTCGCCCAGAGCGGACTGCATTCGCACCTGACAGCGTCTTTCTCCACGACGGTCCACCCCCTCGCCCTCTGCCGCTTCGTCGGGCTCTTCGTCCACGATGGGGCTTTGGGCGCCGGCGTCATCCTCCGCCAGGACCTGGACCATGGTCAACTCGAAGACCAGGGTCTGTCGCGGCATTGTCGGGAGGCTCAAGCCGAACGCATGCCGTTCGATGCCAAGCTCCTCGTCCTCCTCCACCGTAAAGAGCCGCTCCACCTGTGGCTGCCACAGGACGGACCAGAGTAAGGCAGGGGTTGCGTTGGAGCCGGCGCCAAGCGAAGAATTCCGGCAGGTGGCGCATCAGAAAAAAGGCCCCCCCACGCCCGAAGCCGAACCGTCCACCCATGAGCGTCCCAAGCCCGCGTCAGCCGCTGCAGCCTTGGCAGCACGGCCAGGAAAACCTGTGCCGTGTAGGCCGCCACGTGCCTTCGCAGCGCTGCCGACGGTATTTGGAAGTGAGCTGGAGCCAGGTCTGCCAGCACAGTTAATGCTGCCCATGGTAGCAGTGGCAGAAAGTTTGGGCTTGGTTCTGCATTGAGAACAAGGCGGGGCTGAAGCTTGAGGACATATATATATACTAGTATATACATATGTGTATATATATATGTTATATATGTATATATATATATGTATTTATATGTATATATATATATATGTATATATGTATATATGTATATATATGTTATATATGTATATATATATATATGTATTTATATGTGTATATATATATGTATGACGGTTTGCCAAAATGTCTTTTCCTGGTTATGTTGATTAATCGTAATTTCTTGCGCGCCGCTTCTTATTGTGCCTTTAAAACCTTGACGGGCCTAAATAGTCTGAAACCCTGCATTTTATCTTTCATGTTTGAAGCCGTAGCTAAAACCTGCAGTAAATGCTAACGCGTGTCTATATGAAGTGGGTGCCGCTGCTAGTTGTTAGTGGTGGAACTGGAATATCTGCAGAGCTGGTCGTTGCCTTTGCTGTCACTGTTGCTTTGCCAAACAGACAGGATAAACTACAAGTTCTCTGGTGGCGACTGGGTCACGAGTCAACCAAAGCCGTTTTTTGTTTTTTTTGCTAGCGCATTGCTAGCGGGGATCTAGCGGGTAAAGTTAAGTACAAATTCGCAAAGTTGAGCCGCCACCTCAAAAATATAGGAACATTGTTGAGTAGCACAGAAAGTCACTAAGACATCCTTAGGTTTAAGGAGCTAAGTGTTACATCTTGACTTTTCTTCATGTCGAAATAACAAGCAAACAGGAACACGCAAAAATATCCTTGAACATGGGTGTGAAAAAAACTAGCGCAAATCTAGCGGGTTTGCTAGCGCTGCCTTGCAGACTTGGTGAATTTAGTTGCGTGCCGCCTCATAACGAAGAGGAAAAACAACTAGGCCCACACTAATTATCAACAAATAGTACAGAACTTCTGTCAACTATCTTTGGCAAATAGTCATATATATATAAGTAATATGATATAATGTAATACCGTATATATATATATATATATTAGTCTATAGTGTAGATATAAGCGATCTATGTACAATTACGGCCAGGCGCCTTGTGTTGCCCGGAGATTTACAGGGACGTTCCCGGCATGTTGATCATGATGATGATGATGTCTAACTGGGGTGGGAGAATTAAACCCTTATTGAAGAATCTTCAATGAATGTAAGAGTTTAACGGGGGTGGGAGAATTAAACCCTTACTGAAGTTCTTCAATGAATGTAGAAGTTTAACGGGGGTGGGAGAATTAAACCCTTATTGAAGTTCTTCAATGAATGTAAGAGTTTAACGGGGTTGGGAGAATTAAACCCTTATTGAAGATCTTCAATGAATGTAAGAGTTTAACGGGGGTGGGAGAATTAAACCAGTATTGAAGATCTTCAATGAATGGAAGAGTTTAACGGGGGTGGGAGAATTATTGAAGATCTTCAATGAATGTAGAAGTTTAACGGGGGTGGGAGAATTTATATGAGATGTATAGTGTGAACAAAAAAATCCTTGTAATTTACGCTATTCTGGGCTTGGGCAACACAAGGTGCCTGTGGGTACAGTTACATTTTATAGTATATCGGATGTAATTTACGCTGATTTGCTTAAGGGGAATGTAGATTTTACTCAGGAACAATTGTGACTTTTCATGGTGAGATAATGAAGATATAATGCTTGGTGAATTGTTCCTCCCCTGCAACAAGTGGGGGGGTCAACCCGCTTGTTGTGTGATCTCTATGTTGATAATCCATCCAGAATGACTTAGTTGGAAAGAATTCCGATTTCTGATCCTCAAAACAACTTGTGAATTGCTAATTGCCAGAACAACTGGAAACCAGTACTCAATGCATCCCGAATCAGATAAAAATCATATCTCCGTTTCTTTTGTTAGTCTGTACCGACAACTGGGCTGTTGTTAGATTTTTGGCTTCCCAACATCCCATTGAACGCATGGCTAACACCAAATACTTTTGAAACAAGTTGGATGAGAAGAACACCTCTTTTTCTGATAGAAAATTCATCGATGCATCAACCATTCACCGGTCGAGCCAGTCCATGACGCAAACGATGCCGCTGCTTGTCAGCCTTGAGTGGCTTCGCATCACCCGCTGTTTTCAAACCAATGCTGGATACATTCAACATATTTTGATGGGGTTTAAAACTAGATTTTTGGGTGTTGGCTTTCATTGACATGCATTTTTGGGGCCGGCACTAATACTATTTATCATTGCGCAAATCATTGGTGGAACTGCTTTTCCAGCAGATTTCCGCACTGGCCGGGCCTTACCAAGAATCCTGTTGAACAAACGTCCAAGAATTGGATTGGTTTAAGGGAAAATGTACTGGAACCCCCTATATTTATTGGTAAAAAACCATGGTTTCATGTAGATTTTCTCTTAAACCAATCCAATGAAGCATTCGTTTCGGAAGAAACAATCATCTTCCCATTTGGTCAGGCAGCCCCGATCGGTGGTGAATTCCCTTCTCATCGAGTTGCTTTACCCAGTGATCGTCCCACTTGTTCAGACATTATACTGGTGGCTTTTTTTTGGCAATTCCCATAGTGGACTATGATAATCCCCCTATATGTAAGGGTAGGTTAATGGCCCCTAATCATCAACCATCATTTATCAATGATATCCTCAAGATGTTTGTCGATTCAACCCCCTTTTTTGTTTTGGATGGTCAAACATCAATTCCCCCCATAGCAGTAATCAAGCGAGAGAACAGGTCGCAAGGCTGGGCCATTCCGTTGCTTCCGGGGCAAGGCGCTTGGGCATCTGCCGCAGGCAATGTCCAAAGACTGCTTGGTTGAACTCCGGTGCGCGAAGCTTCTCCTGCGAGATGGGTGGTTTGAGTTCACGCCAGTTCGTTGGCCAAGACATGGAAGCTGATGGAATAGTCAACCATGGCAACTTATAGATGATGTATGATAGGTCTGATAGGTATTTTGGTTTATAACTACAACTGTTGGACTTATGAAGGATACATCGCATCAGTTAATACGGGCCTCTAAACCAATCAATATAACTGGTGGGCATCATTTTCTGTGTCATGGATCACCATCTACTTGCGGCCCATCAACTTTGACGACCATGGATCTGTCCATAAGAATATGATATCATATTTTCATCCAATAGTTTTCCAAAGTATACATTATATGATAGTTTTCCAATAGTTTTCATCCAATAGTTTTCCAACTAGTTATCATAAGAATATGATATCATACACTTTATCATTGTCTGATGGCCACCACTTCGAGATACTTCGAGTCTACTGGTATACAATCCATTTTCTGAAGCCTACTTTTGATATTTTGCTGCCATGTGCAGTACCTATACTTGTGGAAAATACATGGTGGTATCCCCACCGTGATCAACCATTAAGTGGGAAAGGATGTCAATGTTCCTCATGTTTTCTTTCTCTTCAGTGTGTATTTGTCAGTTCACCCTGGTACCACTGGAGAAATATGCGGCTGTGTCTGAACATGGGGTATACCCCACAGATGACAACTTAAACAGTGTATAGGGAAAATGATGATGATTATGATGATGCTGGTAGTGGATGGTAGTGGTTTATTAATGGTTATTAATGGACATTAATGGACATTAATGGATATTAATAGATATGGAAAAGGATGATGATGATGATGATGATGAGGATGATGATGATGATGAACACTAGCCACTCCACTCCTATCCGATGTCCTATCCCTAGCTGAAACATCGCGGCTGAGTCCCCAATCTCCTGCGGCATATGTTTCAAGGCACCGAGGGTGAGGATGGTGTCCGGCAACCTTGGTCGGACCCACCAGGAACTCACTGGTGAGTTTCACTCACCGACTCACCGCTCCACCAGCCAATGGGTGATGGAAAAACATGGAGAAGTTGGCTTGGTATACAATAAATGGGTATTTTATATTTTCATATATTTTCTATACAATGGGTATATGTATCATTTATGGGTATTGGTATATGTATCATCTATGGGTTTTGTTGTATAACCATCTAACAATGGGTGTTTTGGATTAGTATGGGATAGATGATGTCTCCAACCGAATCCTTTAGCGAAACAAATTGAACATTTCGCCCGCTGTTCCAATGATCTCATTGTGGATCCCAAGTAGAGCTGGTGTTTCCACCATGTTTTCCCGGACATCAAGGAAAAATACACACGGAGATGTGTTGCTGTGGGGAGATATTAGGTATCGCCCACCAAATCGCACAGATCTTCTTCCCAGCTTCACCTGTCTACCGACACTGCGGTGACCAGGCAACGCAAGAGAGCAGAGGTCGGAATGAGCGAAAATTCAGGGGGGGGGACCAGAGATTTTAGTCTATTCTTAGTATTCACCATCCAGTGATTGGCCCATTTTGACCATGCCCAAAATCAACTTCAAACTAATTATGGTTCACCAAGGTTTCCTCAAACCTATTGAAAACTGGTGTGTCGAGCAAAAAAACAGAAGTCTCGTGTTTTTCTTGCTTTTCAATTCATGACATGACATGCTTGCGGGAAAAAACGAGAGAGTCAGTTATGGCTATCATCACATGTATCTACTGCATTCTACCGTTACAATCTCTGCAGAAGGGGTCTTAAGCCACAGTTATGACAGTTAAAGCTTGTCATTTCGGACCTGTCGGAGCCTGGCAAGTTACAAGACGAGTTTCGGGGACCATTCCTTTCATAGACATGTTGAATGCCTCCCATTTCTATCATCCCATCTTTGGATTTGCCCTTCCAGACTTGCCCTTAAAAAAGACACAATCGAAATAACCCAGAAATTTGTACGAATCTCTGGTGGCTTCCCCACCTGGGGCAGCCATCATCTGGTTGGTGGTTGAGCCCTACCCCTCTGAAAAATGATGGACTTCGTCAGTTGGGATGATGACATTCCCACCTGAATGGAAAAAACATGTTCCAAACCACCAACCAGTCATCAATCAGCAAAATTTGGTCATGTGGGATTCACCCCATGCCATAAACCCACCCCAATTTCAATGGGAGATCTTCAGGATCCGATTGATTGGAGGTACCTACCATATATTTTTGGCCTATTTTTCAGGCCTAATTTTCAGTGAATATCACCACAATTCATATGGCCTAAAATATGGTACGTTTACGTACCTCCATGGATTGGATCCTGAAATTCCCATTGGTGTCACTAAGTAGACATAAAGTAATCTATCACTATTCATCCCCTTCATCCCATCGTATCCCTCGCTGGGATGATGGCTACCAGCCATGGTTGGGTGAACAAATGGGATGAAAAAATGGCTACCTGGCAAACCGACATAGCAAGCCGACATTTTTGATCCCATTAAACCCATTAAACACCCATTAAATACCCATTACCCTCTGGTAAATTAACATAGACCCTGGCAGATAGGGGTTGGAAGACTGGTTTCCACTAAAAATTGATGATTTTCAGGGTCTATGTTAATTTACCAGAGGGTAAATACCCATTAAATCATTAAATACCCATTCAATCGCACTAAATCAAAGCAACAAAGATAGTATGTTTGTTGGTGCTCAGCCCGTTCTAAGAATTGATCCGGGCAGCACCATTTGCTTGGCCACACGGGGCAAGCTAAATTCCACCACCTCACTTGAGCGATATCGAAAAATCGAGAAAGGTTTCTGGACTTGCAGGACACATCTTTCATTGTCCACATCATCCTGTATATAAATATATATATATACACACATACATGTATACGGTTTTCCGGTAGATTTCCGCTTAAACCAGCTCTCGGAATATCATGAACCCGACCTTTTTATACTTTTTTCGCTAGTCCTAGACACCCTGCCAAAAAATAAGTAGCTGGATACTACATGTCACCATTTCTTATGACAACCACTAACCAAACCATGGTCGAAGTAGATCACAGATATGGCGATTAAATTTGTGCTACCCTGGGCTGTTGGGCTGGTCATATCGAAGGATCTCCCTGATGTTGATCCCCCAGCATGGTTACGTATTGATGGTTGAAACTCCATTCTGTGATGCTCGTTTGAACCAATTCTCTTTTGATGTTGATGAGACAACCCCAAGTTTTAAGGCTTAAAACCCAATTTTTTCATCATTTTTGATGGTTGAAAATCGTAAAAACTACCATGTTGACCCCCCAAGAATAGATGGTTCAGAGTCGCCTCGATTCTTAACATCATTTTAAAAGTGACCGTCATCTGTTTTCCCCAACAGCGTAAGCTAAGGGGGTCTTCAGCCCAGAATAGCTCCGGTGTGCACTGGTGCAGGTGCCTGGTCAGGTTCAACGAGGTTCCGGAGAAGCCTCCGGAGAAGGTGTGGGAAACAGGGTTCCGGAGAAGGTTCTGGAGAAGGTTCCAGAGAAGGTCTGGGAGGCTTTGGTGCAGAGCTAAGTCAGGTTCAAAAGGGTTCCGGAGAAGGTTCCGGAGAAGGTTCCGGAGAAGGCTCCGGGAGGCTTTGGTGCAGAGCCAGGTCAGGTTCAACATGTTCCGGAGAAGGTTCCGGAGAAGGTTGCAGAAGCCAAGGTCAGGTTCATTTAATTCACGGAAAATCAGCTGAAGTGTTTCCAGCGCTTGGCTTCCCAGCACGCTTCAGAAAGATTTGTAAAAATAAAACGTTGCGGCCGTTGGGGATACCACCGAAGCTTATTCATAGTTTCGACACCATTTATCATGGAGAATATCAATCAGCCACCATTCACCAGCATTTTGTGAGGCTTCAACGGCTTCCGATTCGCCCAAACAACGTCCGGCCCAGTGACTCGGAGAAGGCCATCGGGGCAGAACTTGAGGCGACTGGCCTGGGAGCATCGGCGAATGCTGCTGAATATCACACATGGCCATGGAGAAGTTCATTTTTATGATTAGTTCATAATGTTAATAATGATAGTTCATAAATGTTCATAATAGATGATCGCCACTCTTCACTTATAGAAGTTCATTATTTATTCATAGTGGCTTTTCTAGCCATGATAACCAGAGGGTACAACGGAGTTTCTTAGATTTGCTTAAGAGCAGCAACACATCGAAGTATCTTCCTTTTGGATTGAAACCCGAATATATTTGGGTAGTAGAATAAACCCCTTTGTTATGATTAACATTGTTTTTACACACACACAATCATAATAATCATAGCTTTAATGGGAAACTTTGGATGATTCACCAGTGATGTTGGGGTAAACCATCAGACATGGACAAAAAACGTCAAGAACGAGGTTGTTACAAAACTCTTCAGAAAGAAAACCCTGAAACATCACCAAAAATTTCAGAATGGTGACTTCTTGTTATTCAGCCGCCAGGATTCTCTGGCATTCACCGGCAAGAATATGGCAAGCTATACGAACCAAGTTTATGTTTCTATCACGGGATGGTCCAGCTGCAAGACAAAATCATCTAGCTGTGTCTGAAAAATGGGGTATGCCTTACAAATGGCCATTTTACTAGGGATGATGTTTCACCGTTTCACCAGTGGACTTTTTTGTGGTAGCCTATTTCCAGACAAAACCCATCCATGAAAACCCACGTTTCAATAAGGTTGAACCAGCAGCCATTGGGCTGCCATGTAGAGCACAGGTTGCAAGGTGAAAAGAAAAAACACCTGTAGCTGGGTAACTATGTGGTCTTTTCACTCGAGGATAGCGCAACCAAACATCACAGTTTAACTATGTTAAACCAGCAGCGAATGGGATGGGGTTCATCTCGACAGCAAGGGTTCCCGAGAATGCGAACGCAAAAAAACGCAAAAAGCATGGCCGGAATTTTCCACACAGACCTTACCCTCTGGTAATTTGTTACATAGCTATTGAAGCCATGGCCATAGAAATAGTGGATTTAACCATTTTTTCAATGGTGGATCTTTCCAGTTCGCTATGTTAGATTACCAGGTGGTAATATGGTTAGTTATAACAATTTACTAACAATTATTAACCATTACTAACTAATCAACAATTATCAACCATTATTACTTACAGTACTTGCCGTTATCAGAGGGGGGCCCAAGAATGAATTCAGCATCGCTGATTCGATCGGTGATATTGTTTTTCGCCTCCAAGATGGACCAGCAATCACTGAAAACTGCCAATCTTAACTTTCAAACAACGGCATTGGAATCATTGGAATGTCAGATTTCTATATATATATACACATATAATTATATATCTATATATCTATATATATATATGGACACCCACAGCGCAACAGCTTTGGCATCTTTGACATCGAATCCAAATCACACCTTTGTTGGGTCCTCCAGTTGCCATTCCCGCTCAACTCGCAGCATTTCAGGCTCCAAGCAAAGGCGTGGACGATGGATCCCAAGTTCTCGGCTGGAACCGCCTGCGGTGCCGAGAACTTGGCGATGTTTTAATGATATTTGGGTGTCTTAAAAAAGGGATACCATCCATTTATGGCAATTTTGTAGCATTTTGTGGCAATTTTACGAGGGAACATGATAATTTGAATGGATTTAGCGCTGCTCTATTTTGGACTGACACACCCGTTTTACTGTGACTGAATGATTGGATCATGTGAAATTCACCTGAATGTTGCGGTGGACCTCTTCTATCTTCTCATTTTTGATGTTTGGCTTAGAGGAACGCTACGGGACATATCATGGAGAATTCGTTTCTCATCCATAGTGATTGCTTCGGCACAGGGCATATTTCCCATATTTCCTGTCGACACGTGGCCAAGATTCGATGACTCTTTGGAGGTGTGCTACTGTGACTTTATTCAGCTCTGTGGCAAGTTCCTCTGACTGACGTTTGACATCATCACTAATTATCGGGGTATACATAAGCAAGCAAATGTTCTACGTAGATATGGTGTGTGTGTGAATTTAAATGAATGTATATTTCCCATGCTATCCCCATCGATATTTTCAACACATCGATATTTTCGTGATCAGCTGGTAAAAATCCATTCCTGGACAACCCCAGGTCAGTTTTATCACAAACATATCCCTTATTCACTAACCCATCAATATTGCTTCTGTATATGTGTATATATATATATATGATTATATATGTATGATTCTCTTTATATCCCACGAAATGTCACATCAAAAACGCCCTCGTTATTTGTTACATAGCTGATGAACATGGGCCCTGGAGCCAGGGTCCCCTCAAAGTTGTCATGGAATCCCCCATATCTTCCATAAAACTGGCGCCTGCCCCTGGTCACAGCGCTTCTTCAACTCCAAAGAAATGGCCTTGAGGTGGCTCAAATGGGTCAAATGGGTCAAATTCCACCCAGAAAAAGCCTCGCAGATTTAACTTATCAATGATATTTTCAAGATTAATCATGCACCTATTTTGGGGGTCTCTAATTTTAACCCAGACCTATATTTTTTGGGTTTGACCTGAACAAATGAGGGGGGAAATCACTCCAAATCCTACTGGTTTATCATCACCCAAATGTCAAGCCATCCTTTTCTTGCAGGCAAAATCAGAAGGGAACATCATTCAAATCTAGTGACAAACCCAACTGTGACCATTTTCAAACCCAAATTATGAAATTAGGCCACCACATCACCCTTGTATTTGGCGTACTGGGAAATCGCACCATTATAGCATTAATATTCCATCAATATCCATCAATATTCCATCAATATTCCATTAACATTGCATGAATATTCCCATTATATCCCAGCTTAATCAACACAGATGCCGTAGATCGACCAATCATAAATTGGTTTCCCAAAAAGCTATTGGGATATGTCCATTGCGCACATGATTTTCCCCATATAAAAATATCGTTGTAAACTCGGGGCCGAGCCAGCTTCATTCTCCATCATCCCATATCCCATTACATCCAGCTATATCCCCACGATAGGTCTGCCATTCACTTGCGTCACAAGCGAATGCCTCACCCCAACGATATCCCCAGTCAAATCACCATTGTTCCAGTAAAACTTACTTAAACACCATCTTCTTCATGGTTAAAACCATGTTAAAACGACCATTTTTCCCAGGTTTTTCTCGTCTAATGATGTGGTTTATCATGGTTGATCCAACCTTGCGGGTGAACCCCCATCATATCCATCATCGCCTCCAAGAGGTCTTCCTCGCGTCGAAAGAAACGGCCGTAGGCCTCGGCCGTGCCAACATTCCTTCTGCGGATAGTCCAACATTTTTCAAGGATAAAATCGTGGGATAGTCCAATCTGATGTTCGAAAAAAGGATACCTATCTTTTCAAACAACAAGGGTAGACACGGCTGATTTTGATTGCTATTCTAGATTTTACCCACGGAAATTGTTTGGAGAAAAACGCCACAGCAAAAACAAAGATGATCATACAGGATGAAACCACATCCTTGGCCTTCACCCATTTCATGAATCCAAGCAACTTACAAACACGATTCAGAAAATAAGTAATGAACAAATATGATCTTGACCGAGATTGTTGGACATGTTCTAAACCGAGGATTCCAATCGTTTCATCATCCGAATCAAACAAATATGTTCCTTGTCGGGTGTCCATCCATCAAACCCAGAAACACCCACACTTTTTCATGATCAAATCTCTTTGATCCCCTATGATTTAGCTGGTTAGCTTCCTGTAAACAGACAAAAACATGTGGAAAACCCACCATCTATATATAATTCAAAATGCAAATGAGGGTTCCCCCATGGCTTTTCCACATCTTTTTGTATGCTGCCGCGACATTTCATGGGTTTTCCTCCGTGCCAAAGCCAGCCCCATTCGCCCTGGGCCCATGGGCATGCGCCACCATAGCCAGGTTCTGAACGCTGAAGTCTGGCATGGCCCTCATCATCGGCTCCTGGTCGGGTGCTGCTTGGAAGAATGGTCTGGTGGCAGTTTATTGGGATATTCTAGGTATGTGTGCGTATATATATATATATATATATATGGTCCCCCCCAGCAGGGGATACAAAATATACAAACATATATATACACACACAAAAGTAGTGGCGAATTGGAGTTTCTATTCTCTTGGGGCTTGTTATACTCTCCCTGCTTGGCCACGTCAAAGACAGGGGCATGCTGATGAAAACCATGACTTCAGTTTCGACATTTGGAGCTCTGACTGAAATTCATGTAAATCCCCACAAACTGACTGGTGAATGGGTTGTGAAAAAGGGGGATTCCAAAAATTCGAGCGTTAATCATCAGGTTTCAAATAGAAAAACATAATGGGGGTAGATTGCAGACTGTAAGGCACGCCTACATTTCACATCACATCACATCACATCACATCACATCACATCACACATCGTATCATATCGTATCGTATCATATCAAACAATATCATATCATATCTCATACATCATAAATCATATATATATATACATATCACACACACATTAGATAGATAGATAGATAGATAGATAGATAGATAAATAAATAAATAGATAGATAGAAAGATAGATAGCCAGATAGACAGGTAGACAGCTAGACAGATAGACAGATGAAAGAGAGAGAGAGAGAGAGATAGAGAGAAAGAGAGATAGAGAGAGAGATAGAGAGAGAGAGAGAGAGATAGATAGATAGATAGGTAGGTAGGTAGATAGATAGATAGGTAGGTAGGTAGATAGATAGGTAGGTAGGTAGCTAGGTAGGTAGGTAGATAGATCTACCTATCTATCTATCTATCTATCTATATATACATACCTATTATATCCCCATGGTATCTCCATGATATTCCCCTAATATCCACCCGCTTCAAGCGGCACTCCGCAGCCTTCATGGCATCAAAGACGGTCGACTCGTGGAGCCAGAGACGTGCATAGCCATTGGCCACCTGGCCATTCCATGTTTCCAAGATCTTGACATGTTTCTATGGATATATATATATGTATATGTATATATATATATATGAACAACAATATGATATTTGGGTATGTCTGACAATGGGTTATGTCCAATTTGTGCTTTTTTTGATGGGGGCAATGATCATGAACTGTGAGATTTTGAGGCATACTTTAAACAAACCTAACTGTAAATTTTGATTTCACCACCCAAAGATGGGTTGGGATGTTTCTGTATATTAGCACTACAGAAGTAGTTTTCCAAGATTGAGATTTTGCCTTCGACACTCGGGATTTAGCCAACAAACAAAAAGATTTTGCCGCCAGAACTATGGATTTTTCACCAGTTTCAGATGTCATTTGTGGAACTCCTCATAATTTTCTGGGCACCCAGCTGACCCAGCTTGAACAAAGCGCTCAGGACAGGGCAGTAGCCAAGTCGACAGCGTTCCTGAGGTGAGGCACCAGCAAGTGCGCAGCCCGATATAACGGGGATATTGATGGGGACATGGTGGGGATATGTCATATGTCCGGCAATAGATTGGTTCAGAACCAACAAACACTGGGAATTTGACCAAGCAAAACTAGGTTTTGAACCACAAAAACATCCGAAAACCAAGAACAGCTGGGGTTCAACCAACCAAACAACCAAGATTTGGTTTGACAACACGGGATTTGACCAACCAAAATAGCATTGAAACCACTAAGTCTAAGTGCTGGTAACTGGTAGACAAGTCCTACTGGGATCCAGGTAGTGTGTTTGAAGACAAACATATCATGCAGTCTATGTACAGGGTGCCACAAGAAATGTTTTTTTTACCTATTACTATTATGGTCCCAACAGTGACCCCTTGACTTTCAAGGGTCAACAACTTCCGATGTATTTCCACGTGTCATCAAGGCTTTAAGGCTTCCAATGGATGTCAGGAAACACTTGGCGCCGCTTCAACTCACGGGCTTGTGCGTGGTATTGGAAGATCGCGATTTTTTTACCGTTTGTTTCTACATGTGTATATATATATTTATTGTATAATTTCGGTGTCGGGTTAAAATTTGGTGTGAAATAGTTCCATATTCTCCACAAACTTTAAAACCAAATGTGCATTCGCACAAATTTCTAAGTGGTGAAGCCCCACAAAAAGTTTCTCTTTTAGCGCGATATCAAATATTCCCATTGAACATTGCAAAGCTTTCACCAAACCAACCAACTAACAATTCACCAGTCAGTTGACCCAGGGAAACTGATGGGAAGTCAACTGAATTAAAATGGGAAATATTATTGTACGAACCGAAACAAACCAATATCATTTCTAGGTTGTACCAGCTGTACTAGACTTAGCGGACATTTTGTTGCATCATTTCTTGATTCGGGTATGGCTCAAAATCATTGATCCCCAAAATTGAAATAAAACAAAATGGTTTTATACCAACAAAAACATGCAGGTCCATTGGGAACCCCCCATTTTCGATCCATGGCTATATATACTCCATCACTTGGCAACACACCGGGCACCAGTCCAAGGAACAATTCATGCGCCGTGCAGATCAACTGTTCGCTGATGGCCGTCATCATATTGGCGTCCTACGACTGCGAAGCAAACTCAGTGGCTAACCTAACCAGCAGATGATGTACAAAAGAGGTTAGGCACTTTGCCATCGCCGAAAAAATACACACCTGGTTGGTGGTTTCAACCCGTCTGAAAAATATTAGTCACTTGTTTCACACCATGCAGAAGTGCGGACGACTGCTGCTCATGTGCTCGCTACGCATGAGGGGTTCAGAAAGTTAGACCGTGTTGGTCTCATCAAAACGAACATGCAAACTCAACGTTGACACCAAAACGATTAAAAGGGGAAATCTCACCTAGTCAGATGCTGATTGCGACCCTGCTGGAAAGCAAGTGCAAGGGACTTTCTTGCACTAATGGGCATATTAGATTCGGCACCAGCAATGTACCCGCTTGGATGCGTTTTAGGTGTCACCTAAACACGTGGTTTTTATGATCCCTGGGTGGATAGGCACATCAGGAAATCTTCGGTTGCAAAAGTTAATGGCTTTCCGAATCAAGGTGGAATTATAGGACCGGATAACCCCACATGTGACCAACTTCTCTAGACTTAGACTGAGCATAGAAAAGCAAGAAGGGAACAGGAAGGATAAGAGTGGTGGAGGGGTGATGGTGGGTGAGTGATGAGGGGTGATGGAGGGGTGATGGTGGGGAGGGTGTGTGTGTGTGTATGTATGTGCATGTACAGGTGAGTGAGTGAGAGTGTGAGTGATGTGATGTGAGTGTGGTGTGTGTGAGTGATGTGAGTGTGGTCTGTGTGAATGAGTGAGTGAGTGAGTGAGTGAGTGTGAGTGAGTGTGAGTGAGTCACGCAAAAGAGGCGAGACCCAAGGGACGCCAGGGCGTACATCCGACCCCTTGGCAGTGCACATTGTGCCACGCCTGCCACGCAAAAGAGGCGGAGACCCAAGGGACGCCAGGGCGTACATCCGACCCCTTGGCAGTGCACATTGTGCCACGCCTGCCACGCAAAAGAAGCGGAGACCCAAGGGACGCCAGGGCGTACATCCGACCCCTTGGCAGTGCACATTGTGCCACGCCTGCCACGCAAAAGAGGCGGAGACCCAAGGGACGCCAGGGCGTACATCCGACCCCTTGGCAGTGCACATTATGCCACGCCTGCCGCGCAAAAGAGGCGGAGACCCGAGGGACGCCAGGCGTACATCCGACCCCTTAGCAGTGCACATTGTCCCACGCCTGCCACGCAAAAGCGGCGGAGACCTAAGGGACGCCAGGGCGTACATCCGACCCCTTGGCAGTGCACATTGTGCCACGCCTGCCACGCAAAAGAGGCGGAGACCCAAGGGACGCCAGGGCGTACATCCGACCCCTTGGCAGTGCACATTGTGCCACGCCTGCCACGCAAAAGAGGCGGAGACCCAAGGGACGCCAGGGCGTACATCCGACCCCTTGGCAGTGCACATTGTGCCACGCCTGCCACACAAAAGCCTGCCACGCAAAAGCGGCGGAGACCCAATGGACGCCAGGGCGTACATCTGACCCCTTGGCAGTGCACATTGTGCCACGCCTGCCACGCAAAAGAAGCGGAGACCCAAAGGACGCCAGGGCGTACATCCGACCCCTTGGCAGTGCACATTGTGCCACGCCTGCCACGCAAAAGAGGCGGAGACCCAAGGGACGCCAGGGCGTACATCCGACCCCTTGGCAGTGCACATTGTCCCACGCCTGCCACGCAAAGTGAGTGAGTGAGTGCCTGCCACGCAAAGTGAGTGAGTGAGTGAGTGACTGAATGAATGAGTGAGTGAGTGAGTGAGTGAGTGAGGAGTGAGTGAGTGAGTGAGTGAATGAGTGAGTGAGTGAGTGAGCGAGTGAGTGAGTGAGTGAGTGTGAATGAGTGAGTGAGTGAGTGAGTGGGTGAGTGAGTGAGTGAGTGAGTGTGTGTGAGGGGACGGGAGGCGGGAGGCGGCGGAAGGCGGATACAGAACTAAAAACAAAAACCCCACACGTCAATGTGGGGAATAAACACTTGGATGGGGTTGAGCATTTTCAAGGCGGACACCAACTTCCCAAGCATGATATGCAAGCTCAAGAAACGAAGTCGCAAAACCATCATCCAGGCTCGATTGGAAATCAACAATAGCAATCGTATTCTGCACCGAAATCAAAGGAGGGGGGTTAAAATGCTCAGGCAAGGAGAAATCAGTTGTCCAGCGAGGTTTACTGTTGTCGGGATACCAAATCCAGCGAGGAAAGGTGGCAGCAACCTCATGATCAGGGGATTGCTCATTCAAGAACACAGGACCAGTGGTATCTCTCACAGGTGTGGGAGTGACACGTTCTGCTAGTGGTGTGTAGAGTTTCTTCTGAACCCTAGCCAACCAGTGCTGCCACTATCTTACCACGGAGGCAGCGTGGCAGTACAAAAAGGCACGTCTTGCCTCTCAGCGGGCAGCTCTTGCTGAAAGATTGCCAACCTGTCTGTGTCCCGTCGTGGTTTGACGTTCGCCACAGCATGAAGAAGGTCTTCTCGAGGCCACTTGCATCACGAAGCTTCTTGTACCCATTCATCATCAGCCGGTGGAGGGTCTCTGCAGCTTCATCTAGCTCCATCCCTTGAGTGACAGAAGGGTGTGAGAATTGCAGTTTCTGGCGGCAATATGTTCCTGTGATCTCCTCATCGCGGCAATGCGCATTCACCAAGTGGTACC